GATCTTCTGACTCTTCTGTGCAAATCTTTAACAAGCCCAGAGTCCAGCAAGGAGAACTTGTCTCTGCCAGATGCTGTCATCGCAGGTCTGAATAGAGGGCAGATAACTATACAATGGCCAGCAGTTGTCACCGACTCCAGGCCCAGTTCTGACTGACGGCAAATGCTCAGTCTCTAGCAGCTCAGCGTTCTACGCCAGGGGCGGGCAAACACCGGCCCTCCAGCTGCGGTGAAACTACAAATCCCATGATGCATCTGTCTCTGGGAGTCATGCCTGTAGCTGTGAGAATCTTATAATGCCTCATGAGATTTGTAGTTCCACAGCAGCTGCCACAATAAAGATGTGACAGATCATCTAACACGTCTGTGCTCTGTTAAAATCTAAAACGGTGGTTGGTGCTGGGCCTAAACAACTGAGAGCCCAGCAAGGAGAACCTGGAACCTTGGCCTGGAGCGCAAACAACCAACTTAAGGCTAGATTCACACTGAGGTGATTGAGCTGTTGAGCTGTTTTCGTGCGGTTGTAATGCATTTTTGTTTGCGCGACTGTGCTTTGTAAACCGCACGGTTTTCAATGTATAGAAATGTCTATGGGACTCAAACTGTGCGACAACCGCTCCTGCACAATTTTGCGTGACAGGCGATTTCGTCCACGCGACAAACCGCAAAGGTGTGAACAGCCTCGCATTGAACAGCCTTCAATCCGAATCTGTGTTTTGCGCTATAAATCGCCTAGGTGTGAACCTAGCCTAAGCTGGCCATACACTGTTATATTTTTTTTGTTGAACCTGTGGGCTGACTGAAACAATATAACAGATTCCTCCATCTGTGCCAGGGGTGGGCAAACTCTGGCCCTCCAGCTGTGGTAACACTACAAATCCCATGAGGCATCGGTCTCTGGGAGTCATGCCTGTGGAATGAGGACTCGAAACAGGGCAGATAGGGATTGGTCCATAGTCTCTAGGAAGGAGGCCAGCCCTCAGGCTCCTCCAGCAGCCCCAGTGACGGTTCAGTCCTGCAGATTATATCTCAGCTGATGAAGGTGGACTCCCATTCTTATAGAACTGTGTCTGCCCACAGTGACCTGTATCCGCCTGGTCTGAGCCCAGGCAATGCGGCCTGGTCCAGCAGGTGTCAATCGTCAGGTAGTTGGAGGAGTTACCTGAGAGAATGGAATGCGAGGAATGTGCCGACACGGGCTTCTCCTCATTCCACTGTACAGGTGTCAGGACGGTGCTGAGAGGAGTGGACATGAGACGTCACAGGGGAGGGGGGATGAGAAGAGTCTGGTGTGCTGATGAGAACAGCCCAGAAAACTTTCTTCTCTAAACTTCCCCCAGACACACAGACTCATAATGCTAAAACACTGACATACAGACAAGGATCTTACGTGTTCAGCCCAAACCCTGGGCCTTAGTCATAGCTAATAAAATACACATCCACATATCAAGTCTAACAGGGTTATTCACTAAAGGGTGAAGAGTTTGGAGAAGGCAGGAGAAGTGAGCAATATAGGACAACATAGCTGAACTGGAAAGTGAGCTGAATTGGAGACATTTTCCAAATCAGCTATTTTGGTCTAGATTGTTCACTTCTCCTGCCTTCTCCTAACTCTTCACCCTTTAGGCCCCGTTCACATTGAGCGATTTATCGCGCGATTTTTGTAGCGATATCGCTCATATTTCCGCACTATATCGCTCTATGTAGCTTCACCAATACAATTCAATGTAGCTGTTCACATCTCGTCGCTCAATGTCGCTAAATATCGCTCAATATCGCTTGTAGCTCGTCGCTGGTAGCTTGTCGCTTCTACATGACCCTTTTTTAGAGCGATTTTGAGCGATATTGCTCCTGATTGCATACAGCCCAATAGGAAGATGTTGCGCGACACGTCGCTCAATGTCGCTCAAAGTCGCGCGATTTGCATGTCGCTCAGTGTGAATGGGGTCTTAGTGAATAACCCTGTAAATCTCCCGCTGGGCCAAGCTTCAGTATCTTGCTAGTCAGCCCCGCTGGTTGTTAAAATACCTGAACAATCTGATTGGATGCAGGCATTGTTCAGGTATTTTGAGAGCCAGCGGTGCCGACTAGCAAGATACTGAAGCTTGGCCCAGTGGGAGATTCCTCCGTCCACACAGCTTAGCGTAGATGGAGGAATCTGTTGCACTTTTTCCATCTGACCATAGAAAATCTGCAGATAATCTATAGGTGTATGGCCAGCTTTATATACTCCCAACCTCCAAAAGGTAGGTGGTAGACATGTGCACGGCAAACAAAATCTGTTTTCGGGTGAAACAAATGAAAACGAAAAACATTTTAATTTGTTTCGTCAAAGGAAACACATTTTTATATTGTTTCGGATTCAAAGGCAATGAGCCTCCGAACCTGAAAAATGCACACTGAAACGAGTGGCGGCCATGTCGGCTGCTGGCGCGTTCTGCTTATGCTTATTGGAGTGTATCTTGGTGCTGTATACCAAGATATACTCCAATATGGTGGCGTGCATGCGGAGAATGCACCGGCGGCCAATGTGGTGACCGTACGTTCAGTGTGTGAAGTCACCGTCATGTGAGGTCATGCGCTCTGCCTCCAAGATGACGGCAGGCATGCGCAGAACATACTGGCGGCCAATATGTGTATCAGGTGTGTGGAATTCATGTAGTTCCGGGCGCCGGGCAAGTAGTTTTTTCACTGTTTTAGCCCTGCTACGGACAAGTAGCCGGGCTGGTTTGACTTTTTTAATGCGACAGCAGGACCCTTTGCCCCATTGAGATGCATTGAAGAGCGATATTGCGCGGTAAATAGCCGCGATATCGCTCAATGTGAACGGGGCCTTAGTCCTTAGACAAGTAGTTTTTTCCAAAATTTCCACACCCCTGTGTATGCCTGAATATAGTTTTCATATATTCGGGCATATTATAGATTTGTTATTTTGGATTCGGACGAACCGCCAAATCAACTGAATTTCGATTTGCAGGTTCGTCCGCATCCGAATGCACATGTCTACTAGGTGGAGTAATTACCTCAAACAAAATTAGCCCCTGCAGCACATAAAATGTTTCACAAGATCAACATTTCAAAACAAGCCGGGAGATGAAGGTCTACAGACTAGCAGGAGAGCCGCAGTTTGAAAACAGAGGATTGAACATTTAGGGCCCATTACCCCCGATGCTCCTGGATGTGTAAATGAACGCATACCAAATCCAGTGAATATCCCTTTGCACTCCTGAGTGGTATACCCCTTGAAGCTGGGTGCCGAAGTGGCTGTGGATGGCACCGCTCAAACCAATGAAGATACAGGATGTCACCAGCACACTGAAGAAATGCGTTTAAAAACCATTGTTATTGACGTATGGGTTGGTGAGGGTGCTCTCCGCACACCTTACAGCAGTCCCGGCCAGTAAAAACAATGGTGCTTGTAGCAACTACCACGGATGGCATCGTGCAAGATACGAAGTAAAAGATAGGTCACCAGCACTCGAGATAATTTAAATAGTAATGTCCTTTTTAATGGACAATTGTGTCACAATGATCAACAAAGCCGACGTTTCGGGGCCGCGCAGGGTCCCTTCTTCAAGGCAGGGTCCCTTCTCCGAAGAAATGCGTTCAAAAAACGTCTTTATCGGAGTGATATTCTGTATCTTCATTAACACATACCTAGCGTACAAACATCAAAAATGAATTGACGTTGGAAGGTTACTTGGCTCCTGTCTTAAAGGAGAACTATGAGGTGAATGCTTTTCACTCACCTCATAGTTCTAGCCGACCTGTGACAATGAGACTGTCACAGGTCGGCTCAGTAGATCGGGAAGTGAGCGAACACATATCGGCGTTCGCTCACCTCTCGATCCTGTCACGGCTCTCTGCCGTGATAGGGGAGGGTCTGGATTCCCCCCTCCGCCAGCGCTGACTGGCGGAACGGACGGGGGCGGGTACAGCTGGCTCTGCCTCTAGATAGTCAGTCACGCAGCTGGGCGGATCCCGACACAATTGCAGCAACTCGCGGTATACTGCGGCGCCTCAGTAGCTCGCGGTATACTGAGCCTAGGGTGACGGGAGGACGCTAGTTTGTGGGAAAAGACTTAACCCCATAGTTCTCCTTTAATCGGCCCTCTATGTATACATGTGAAGGTGGCCATACACTTTACAACCCTCGCAAGACCTTAGTCTTGCGAGGGTTGTAAAGTAATTGAAAAAACGTACGATCTGCCCATCTTGGACAGGCAGATCGAACTTGCGATGACCGCAATGCTGAACGGGCAGTGTGCGCACACCGGCCCGTGCGGCATTGATCTTACGATCATGCTAAAAATCAGGCGATAATCGTACGATTCTCGGCTGGTTTTCTAGCATGCTCCTTAGACAAAAGACGTGCGACTGTACAGTAGAAACGGTCGCACGTCTTCATTCACACTGCACGATTTTCGTACGATTGCGGGATTTCCCGCGATTCTCATACGAGTATCGTGCTGTGTATGGGCACCTTGAGATAGGGACCTTAGATTGTAAGCTCCTTGTTTGCAACTTAAAGATCCATCAGGTCTCCCATTCCAAGAGTCATCACCTCCCACATGTGCATTAACCCTTTCTACACCATGGAAAGTAAAAGATGTCTTATTGCCCCCTCCCATGGACATCATTTGAGGGCTGAAGTGTGTTGGGATTTATTTTGTCACAGCAGTGCTCCCCAATTCACGCTCTTAATAGATAAATGGTACAGCCAATGTATTGCACAGAACACTTTGTACATGTGATGAAATGTGCGCCGTTGTCTGATCGGATAGTCCTCATTCGTCCTCTCTGTCTTCTTATTAGGGGTACACAACCTACAAGTGTCCCATCCACATGTATGAGAAGAAGAAGAAGGAGGAGGAGGTTGGGAAGTGTAAAGTTTGCAGAGCCAGGCTCATCCCTTAGTTCTCCTGTGTCCTCCCTCTCCCCTCCCCTGTGCGAGCTCCTCCGGCCTCCCTCCCTCCCTCCTACTCTCTCCCCTCCCCTCACCTCTCCCTCCAAGTCAGTCCCCGCTTGTCTCTTCTCTTCGTTCTCTTATTGCCCCCCTGACCTGCCCTCCAGTCATGGCGGGGGCCCGGCCGGGGGTACATGCTCTGCAGCTGGAGCCGGTGCGGGTGCCGGAGATCCTACAACGGGGCAGCAAGTTCATCAAGTGGGACGAGGTGAGAGCAGCGTGCAGAGGGGCGGAGGATGGAGGGACATTCTTCAATCTGGGACTGTCACACTGCACACAGGGGCACACTGACAGTACACACCACAGGGGCACTGCGATCAACTACACACTGACAGTACACACAGGGGCACCGCGATCAACTACACACTGACAGTACACACGGGGGCACTGCGATCAACTACACACTGACAGTACACACAGGAGCACTGCGATCAACTACACACTGACAGTACACACAGGGGCACTGCGATCAACTACACACTGACAGTACACACGGGCACTGCGATCAACGTACACACTGACAGTACACACGGGGGCACTGCGATCAACGTACACACGGTGACAGTACAAACAAGGGTACTGCGATCAACGTACACACTGACAGTACACACGGGGGCACTGCGATCAAGCTACACACTGATAGTGCAAATAGAGTTTCTGGGATCAACATTAGACACTGACAGCACAGCCGGGGACACTGACATCAGGATAGACGCTGACAGCGCAGCCGGAGACACTGGCATCAGGATAGACGCTGACAGCGCAGCCGGGGACACTGGCATCAGGATAGACACTGACAGCACAGCCGGGGACACTGACATCAGGATAGACACTGACAGCGCAGCCGGGGACACCGGCATCAGGATAGACACTGACAGCGCAGCCGGGGACACCGGCATCAGGATAGACACTGACAGCGCAGCCGGGGACACTGACATCAGGATAGAAAGTTGGATTATTGCTGAGTGATTTCCAGGATATACTTTGCTGAGCTGCTTTAGTGCTGTTACAGCTGTGACATTCCATTGGTGGAAGAATGACAAGATCCAGCATGTCTCTCTGTGGGTGACACTACACGCAGGGACTTGTAGTGCACAGAGAGCAGGGAAAGCAGGTTCCAGGTTGACACGCTGGGACTTGTAGTTCTCCAGGAGGACAGACATACATGATGTAGAGGAAGTGGGTTTTGTGTTTGTATTTGCGATGCACAATGAGTAATAGTTGTCAGAAATCAGAGGCATGTGGGTGTAAATGTTTCATGACTGTATGTTTACTGAGAAGGTCAGTGTTTGGGATTATATGGCGGCCATGTAGCAGGTCATTTAGTGACTTTTAATCAGCGTTCATCACAACAAAGAACAACAGTAACAATCGCAAAGGTGTTTTCAATCAATCGCCGTCTCGGTTTCAGTGCTTGGCCTTTTGAAATCAGGAAACGTTTGTGGTTAAAAGAAACTAGGTTGTCAGCATGAAAGTGTTCGCCATGATCTGATGACAATGTGATGTTTTTGGGGTAACTGCAGGTACCTCTGGCTTACCTGCGGGATAGTGAAAATAAACAATATAAGGGTGTGCTGTGTTTAAATTGGGGCATAGCAATAAGTAGCGCTGGGTTATTATAGGAACATTGATCGGCCTGGGTACAAAACTTTATCCAGTCTGTGGTGTTTTGTCCTGCTGGTGATGACCGAGAAAGAAGCCTGAGGGTTGTTGAGTCTTGGCTGCTACTTCCCTCGTGTCTATAGGCAGCTTTATATTGCATTGTCCGGCTGTAAATTGTATAGCCACAAGTGTCTTTTTATAGTTTTCGGCTGCTGCTCAGGAATAAATAGGTCTCATTGTTGTGTCTGATGAAAGAGGCTTGGGATTGCTTAGAAGACTCTGAGGCTCCAGTGACAGGGAGCCAAAGAAGGTGCCAGAAGCCTTTTCCAAGGGCAGATGTATGGAAGAGTAAAAAATATGAAGGTTCGGAGATTGGATGAGTTAACCTCTTGCCCACCAATATTCTGCATTAGGGGGTTGGACACTATCTCATTGACACTTTCCCTTTTTGTGAATGACTACAGCGTGGGTATGCTTAGAAATTATCAGGTTTGCCTGTTCTTATTGAAAATGTTTGCGGCGCTGTAAATGTTGTGGCATACATATGTTTGAAAGCACATGTGTCACATGGTTCTGAAAAAGTAACCACCAGCTGAATTGCGGGCACCTTCTAGAGCTAAATATTACTAATAACTTGTCTGGCACCCCTAAGAAACCATTCCAACCACCTCTGAATACCTTCCACCATAAGTCAGCTTTTTTTAGGGGGGCTGGGCACACCTCCCACCATGGCAATGCTCGGGCCTGGGAATAATTCTATAGCCCCTGCAGTGGCCACAGAATGACGACCGTTGCACCTTACCTAAAAGTTTTTTGTTTTTTTTATTTTGGCGG